CACACACACACACACACACACACACACACACACACACACACACACACACCTCGTGTCAATCATAACTCATTCCATCGACAGTGCATCTCAAATAGGATGTGTGATTTGAATTTTACCCACTGAAGCGACTTTCATAGGCTGCCAGTGTTTTGGATTCCACGCAGTCGGCAGCACACGTTGTGCCAAAAACGAGCTTGCGTATAATCACAGGACAGTGAGACCTCAAAACTCTGCCAACTGTGTGAATGTGTCGAGTCTGGACAATCACTATCAAAGCACAGGAACAGGAGGAATGAAGCTCAGCTGAATGTTACCATGTAGTTGCTCTCAATAAAGAAAAGCATTTTAGAAAACTGGATTTAATATCTGTGTTGAATCTGTCTTTTATACATTTCTCATCAACGTATGCTAAAGTAACTTTGGTGGATCACTTTATATTTATTAGACGATGTGCTCCTATTCCCATTCTAATAAAACATATGTCAAAAATGGACATTTCCACATGTTTTTATTCATGTTTTTTAATTGGTGAGGAAGTCTGGAGTTGTCATGTTCTGCAAAGTAAAAATCGAATTCTTAGCATTAAAAGTAAGGCAGTTTGTGTTTGATTGTATCTTGGGTGTAGAGATGCTTTTTGGCAARAAATGTTTCCCTGTTTATTTCCCATTAAATTCAGTTACATTTGTTTGTAAAACTTGTACGTGGGTCGAGTGTTAGGCTTGAAGATGGGTAGGCACGGCTAGACAAAAAGTTAGCTTCACTAACTCCTAATCCACTAACTAAAAATATAGATTTGCTAAACTTAGACATGTAAAAACATTATTGGAGGCTAACGCTAAACAGCTAAACAAGAAAAAAAATAATCCTAACAGTTAAAATGACTGTCACTCAGTCTTTGTGACARGTCTTCATCTTCTTCGAGCTGAAGACTGGTGGGACTGACACAAACCCGTTGGTGAGCACAGCCAAGACTTAAGGGATTTACCACAAATCTTGTGACATCACACATACCCTTGTATAGTTGTTTTGTACTGCTGTAATTACAATAAAGTCATTATTTTTTATTTTTATCACACTTGATGTTGAAAAAAACCTAGTGGAAGCTAGCTGCTCTGCTTTCAAAGTTATTGAAAAAGCTAATCCATTAAACAAAAACTAGTTACGCTATTAGCTGTTAGCGGTTTGGCCGAACCATGCCCACTAATGGACCTTGAAAAACTTGTCAGATCTTCTCTGCCAATGACAAACTGCCCAATTGGCAACTCAAAAACTAYAATACTTTTATTGGATTGAATGACTGAAAAAAATGGCAAAAATGTCAATTTAAGAATGTGGAAGAACCTTACACAGCCACAACAGCATGGCCCCTCCTCTTCATGCTGGCAACCAGCAGTGGGACACATCCCATTCTTAAACTAGGATTTGCTGTGTTGGTAASTCTGAAACAGCATGCCCAAGCTGATCCTTCAGTGGGGTTGAGGWCAGGACTGCAGGCAGGACATTCCTCTCCACTCCCACATCTTAGAGGTGGTCTCTGACAAACTCCGCTCTCTGAGGCGAACGTTGGAGGACAAAGTCCCAGACTGTCCTGAACTGCTCACAGGTGCTGACAATCAGTCGCCTGATTGCCACAAGAATCTCAAAASGAGAATCAATTGCAGCTGGTTGGCACTGAGAAGTTTTTCATGGACTGAACTCACAAACTCAACTCTGCAATCTCAACACATTCGTTACACCATTTAAGAGGAAATAAACATTGGTGTAGGCTTTCTAAGCAAGAAGCACTTATAACAACAAAGTAATGAAGCAAACACAAATCCCTTACTTCTTGTGCTGTTTCTATCACCAAGGAAAGAAGAAATGGAGGTTTACAGAAGAGGATGTAGGCCAAACAGCCACACTGAGAGCTGTCGAAGCTAACAGCTGCACTCTGAAGTGACTGCAGAGACGTAGCTCTCAAAAGGCACCAGAATAACCACAAACATGTCCCACTGAGGTGCTAAGTGCTTATAGCTGCTTATTAATGTATGTCGCTTCGAAAAGCTTTCAAATAACACAGCGCTAGATGAAAATAACCTAACCGAGGTCATCTTCAGCAGGAGAATAATGATCACKGATGGAAAAAAACTGTATTTGTAGCATCTTTTTTATCCAGTTTGTTTTCATTTATCAGGAAATAGAATTGTGTTGAAGGATTTGAGGGTAACTCAGGGGTTCGTTTGTGGCTCTGAAGGTTTGTTCGGCGTGTCAAGAGTCCAAATACTGATTCACATAAGACAATGGAGCGAGGCTTCAAACGGGTGTTTTTCCTCTGTTTGAAGAGGACACAACACTCCCTGCTGCCACCATGGAAACCAAATTGTACCAGTAACTCCTGTTGACTCAGTCTGAGTGTTCCACTTAAAGCAGAGAAATCCAAGAGATGGTAGAGCACATGCCCCGCGGCGTTGCTTTTCTGCACCTCTTCTGGGTTGTTTTTCTGGTATTCACAACATGAATACCAGGTTCCTGTAAGTAGTCATGACAACCTGAACTCCAGGACTCTGATACCTGCTCTCCTGTGGTGTCAGACAGAAGCACACACAGCGCCGGGCTTTTCTTTGGCCCAACAGCGCATACATATTCTTATCGAGTCTGTCTCAACCCACGGCTTCACACCATTTCACCTCCATCATCCTGGGGATTTTCCTCCCCTTTTCTCCAGTGAAACTCCATCACCATAATTGTCTCCTTTCCCCCCTTTTCTCTCTCTCCCTCCCTCTCTCTCTCTCTCTCTCTCTCTCTCTCCCACGTCTGTGCGCTCACCCAAAAAGATGGTAACCATGGAAACTGGCTACAACCGATGGGCTCAGAAACGTCGTGATTGGCGTGCAGAATTGCACAAGCAGACACTCGTTATGCATGGTTTTCACTTTTCATGCAGGCACTTCTTCCTTAGAATTATTGTGGAATTTGAAGTGCARGTTTCAGTTTTTGCAAGAATACCACAACATTTACTCATTAAAACACCACAGGAAATCAGATTAATGTGGTTTTATAGGGAGAGAAGTCGAAAAGTAAAACCTTGTTTTTTTTTCTCCTACATCGCTGCTGCCACATGTAAAAATGTTTTAATGTATTTTAAATGTTCATTTTCCCTGTGGTATATCTTACTAAAACACAGACAAAATAGATTAAAGTGGCAATATCATGTGTTTCTCAGGCATATATTTAAATTCTATACCATAATAAAGTAACTATGTCACCTTCAGTTGTTAATAAAATGCTGTTTTTGTGCTTAAATCAAAAATAAATTCGACTTCTCATCATWTCRGTTTCTAAACACCTTGAAATTGGTCTCTGTCTCTTTAAGAACCTCCTGCTTCTGTCACGRRCATTTCAGCATGTCATCATAGRCGCTTCTATGTTTACAAGCTGGAGCGTCGTAGCATGCTTTGTTGTAATAATACTTAAAAAAGCAGCAACATTAAACAAGATRGGTTTTGGAAAWTTGCATCTCAGTATATATAAGAACCTTAATGTCGGACCGGAAAGTACGTTTTCTGAAGAACCGGAGCMARTACAGAGAGGACAGCTGGTAAGATCATCCACACACATACAGATAATAAGTTACAAWTCTTAACACATAGACCAAACAACATGTCAACAAAACATAGTGAGTTGTTTTTCAGCTTACCTGGGCAGGTGACAATGGTGTTTAATCCAAAAAGGACTGTTGGGGTGGGGGTGCTCTGGGATGAGGAAGCTCAGCTTGGAGACACAGACCAGAGGAGGAGCTGCTCCTAAAAGGTGGTTCTAGTCCCYACCAGTTGTTTTTGCTCCKCTGCCTGCTGCCTCAYAACACTACAGGATTTCTCAAACAAACATGAATGAGTCAAAGCAAGACTCTGAGCATGTTTTTGATGAGAGGATAACATTATAACGTTATATTATTTACCTAATTTCCCTCTGGGATCAATAAAGTATTTTTGAATTTGAATAGAATTGAATAACATGATATAAAACTCAAAAAAGTTGTTTTTACATATATAGCCCCTTTAATAATTTTATAATAATTTTATCAATAGATGTGTTAAATTTCTCCTCACTGATAATTTAGTTTTTTTTTTGCCTTTAACTTTTCCAGTCCTCAGAACAAGGAAGGAGCAGATGTGCCGTCTTGACGAAGTCTTTGTGTCCAAGAAAATGTCAAAGCTGTTCACACTTATGTTTTTCTTTGGACGGAGAAATCTTCTGCCCAGACCGAGACGCCGCCGTGACTCACTCCTACTGTCAGCTGCTGTCTCATTTATATTAATATCCGTTCCATTCAATCTGCAACAAAATGCTAATTTAATGTTCCAGTCTGTTTTTTTATTTTTATTTTTTTTATAAAAGGTCAGGTTAAATTTCTATTAAAGATTAAAACAAATAATTAATGTAAGATATAAGGTTCTTAGTTTGTGGTCAAATAAACTGATAAGATT